GGGCCCCTGTGACTCCCGGCGTCTGTGTCTGTGTCCAGGTCGCGGCCCGTGGTGCGAGTGGAGGCGTCCGTGCACCTGCCGGAGCGCGTGGACCCGCAGGGAGTGCCGTGCTCACACCACAGAGCCCCCAGCGTCTGCATGAACGTGAGCGTCTGCTTCAGGGTCAGCTCCAGGCAGTTCAGAGGACCCGTGGGTGAGTTCAGGGGACCCGTGGGTGTGTGTGAGTTTAGAGGACCCGTGGGTGAGTTCAGGGGACCCGTGGGTGAGTTCAGGGGACCCGTGGGTGAGTTCAGGGGACCCGTGGGTGAGTTCAGGGGACCCGTGGGTGAGTTCAGAGGACCCGTGGGTGAGTTCAGGGGACCCATGGGTGAGTTCAGGGGACCCGTGTGTGAGTTGAGGGGGTCAGTGGGTGAGTTCAGGGGACACGTGGGTGTGGGTGAGTTCAGGGGACCCGTGAGAGAGTTCAGGGGACCCGTGAGTGAGTTCAGGGGACCCGTGGGTGAGTTCAAGGGACCCGTGGGTGAGTTCAGGGGGCCCTGTGGGTGAGTTCAGGGGACCCGTGGGTGAGTTCAGGGGACCCATGGGTGAGTTCAGGGGACCCGTGGGTGAGTTCAGAGGACCCATGGGTGCGTTCAGGGGACCCATGGATGTGGGTGAGTTCAGGGAACCCGTGGGTGTGGGTGAGTTCAAGGGACCCGTGGGTGAGTTCAGGGGACCCGTGGGTGAGTTCAGAGGACCCGTGGGTGTGGGTGAGTTCAAGGGACCCGTGGGTGAGTTCAGGGGACAAGTGGGTGAGTTCAGGGGTGCGCTTCCCTCCATAGGGCACGGAGTTCTACGCTGGTCCTTTCACCTAGGGTCACTTGACACTCTACACAGGTGCACCTCCGGGTCCGTCTCGACAGTGAGTCCTGGTTCAGTTCTGGTTTAATCCTAGGTTAGTCTTGGTTTAGTTCTGGGTTATTCCTGGGTTAGCACGAGCGGGAAACAGGTGGAATGTTAACGTGTCTGGGCGGGTCTCCATAAATGGCCTCGTGCAGGACTCTGGTACATACCCAGCAAGAACAAAAAAAACAAACAAAAAAGCAAGCACAAAATGCGATGTCTGAAAACGGTGAGAAGATGTGCAGACTGGTGCAGCAGGAGCATCTCTGACGCTCTGGTGTGAACTGAAACTCTTAAATTTAAGCACACGCTCTCATCTCCGCCTACGTTACGCGCTTCTGCAGCTCCTGGTGTGAATTCAGTCTGAGTGAACAAGTTCCTTCTGTTTTCTTCATGATCAGAACATGAGTTGAGTTTGTTGTGTGACTAATGCGTCGTCTTTGTTTCCTTTAAGTTTTGTTCTTTCTTCTCTTGATCGTCGTGGATAAATTGTTCATGTTAGAATGTTTCTCCTTTGTGGAGTTTGTTGGTTGAAGATTTGGTGACGGAGCAGATTTATGAAACTGCTGAATACGACACACATTTACACACACATTTACACACACATTTACACACACATTTACACACACATTTACACACACATTTACACACACATTTTCACACACATTTATCAGTGGTGGCGTGTGCATTTCACACCTCGGCCTTCAGTCGTGCTCCATCTGAAACAATCCACTCCTCAAGAACTAATTTATGGTTATTAAAGCATCTTATTCTACAGAAACACAGAATAAAGAGCTGTGGAGATTCTCTTTCTCACTCTCTCTCAAGTCCAAGATTAGTCCTGGTGTAGTCCTGGTTTAGACCTGGTGTAGTCCTGGTTTAGACCTGGTTTAGACCTGGTTTAGACCTGGTGTAGTCCTGGTTTAGACCTGGTGTAGTCCTGGTTTAGACCTGGTTTAGATCTGGTGTAGTCCTGGTTTAGACCTGGAGTAGTGTTGGTTTAGTCCTGGTTTAGACCTGGTGTAGTCCTGGTTTAGACCTGGTTTAGATCTGGTGTAATCCTGGTTTAGACCTGGAGTAGTCCTGGTTTAGTCCTGGTTTAGACCTGGTGTAGTCCTGGTTTAGTCCTGGTTTAGACCTGGCGTAGTCCGGGTGTAGACCTGGTGTAGTCCTGGTTTAGACCTGGTGTAGTCCTGGTTTAGACCTGGTTTAGTCCTGGTTTAGACCTGGTTTAGACCTGGTGTAGTCCTGGTTTAGACCTGGTGTAGTCCTGGTTTAGTCCTGGTTTAGTCCTGGTGTAGTCCTGGTTTAGACCTGGTTTAGATCTGGTTTAGTCCTGGTTTAGACCTGGTGTAGTCCTGGTTTAGACCTGGTGTAGTCCTGGTTTAGACCTGGTGTAGTCCTGGTTTAGTCCTGGTTTAGACCTGGTTTAGTCCTGGTTAGACCTGGTGTAGTCCTGGTGTAGTCCTGGTTTAGTCCTGGTTTAGACCTGGTTTAGACCTGGTTTAGTCCTGGTTTAGACCTGGTGTAGTCCTGGTAGTTTAGTCCTGGTTTAGTCCTGGTTTAGACCTGGTGTAGTCCTGGTTTAGTCCTGGTTTAGTCCTGGTTTAGACCTGGT